GATGTTCTGCTCGGCGTTCATGATCCCACGCACTCTTTCGTTTTTCCTTACGTGATCCCTCCTCGAGATGACCCTATTTTCGAAGCTTCAAACACGTATTTCTCGAAATAGCAAAAATTGCACTTATGCGCCTTGTCCCCCAGCAAGCCCCTCAAATGGACGTATTTCTGCTAAACGGAACAATAGACGAGTGGGAAAGATGGGGTGTGCTCTAGAAAGCTGCATGAGAGACAATGGAAAAGTGGACGTGATACCTTTTGTGGAAATGGCAAAATGGGATTTTACATTAAATCCATCGGAACTGAGTCCCGAAATATGCCAACTCATGAGCCGTGGGCATGTGACATAAGCATTGTGAACAGGGCTCATGAGTTAAAGCGCACACCCGTCGATCTCGTCGTCGTCGTCGCTGACGTCACTGGCGCTTTATGATTCCCGTTCATTCTTACGGCACTCAACCAAAGACATAAAGACGGAGCGCTCGTATCTGAAAGCACGGGGAAAAAGTGGAGCCTGGTTTGGCGCTGGGTGTTTGTGCGAGTGTGTAAATGAGCGCGGGAATCCATGGCGGCAAACGGAAATTTGGTTTGAACTTGTCCTCTTGATTTTTCCACATTTCTTCTTCGAAACGTATTTTAAATGCCTAAAACGAATATATTAAGAAAGTTGGGACTGCTTCCTACTATAATACACCTACTTTTGCTAAGTAACAGGCAGTAATCTCAGATAAAGTTAGTTTTACTTCTGCTCATGGTGGATCTGCCGGTTCAAACAGGCCATTACAGTCGTTGATGACCGTTACTCCAAAATGAAATTAATCGCTCGACGACGGACCAAAACTAACCTAAAGTTATGAAAATGTGAGTGTGTAAGTGAATTTCGGCAAAAATCAACCTAAAATACTTTGCTTCCGCAATTTGATCAAGTTCCCGCCCTACATTTGAATTTCAAACTTGTCCCGATTTCGCCGCCAATCCTCTAGCCAATACTAGAGGAAGTAGAGGTGATTGAAGAGAAGCTTCATTTTTTGCTTTTAGCGCTCCGTCTTCATGTCTTTGCACTCAACTAACGATCACATACCTAGCTTCTTACCCATCCGTCTCTGGTTCCTTTTAGCAGAAATACGTCCATGTAACACTTTTACGTATTTCTATCAAAGAGAACTATGTGGAGATGGGAAAGATGGGGTCTGCTCGTTAGTGCTCGGGCCATAGGAATGAATGGGAAATATAAAGCGTCAGGCACGAAGCCGTCGTCGCGGCTCCTCGTGGTGGGCATTAACTCATGAGCCCTGTTCACAACGCTCTAGACACATGCCCATGGCTCATACACTTTGCACACAGTTCCGTTTGACAGAATGTAAAATCCCGCTTTCCCAATTCAGCAAGCGGAATTGTGAGCCAACTGTTTGCGGCACCCATGAGCCATGGGCATGTGTGTGTCTAGAGCGTTGTGAACAGGGTATTTCCTCCTCCTCTTCCTCATCCTCTATCTCTTCCTCTTCCTCATCCTTATCCTCTCCTTCTTCCTCTTCCTCCTCTTCTTCCTATTCTTCTTCTTCTTCTTCTCCTAACGACCGGGGCAAAACCCTTTTTGACAAGCAAGTCTCGAACATCGAGCACGAGCAGGTATTAATTTATTTATCTTTTTACATACGTACAGATCATTTATCATTTGGACATATTTCTATCAAACAGACCTATGTGAAGGTGAGAAATATGGGGTGTGCTCTAGGAAGCTGCATAAGAAGCAATGTTAAAGTGGGCGTGATTCCTTTTGAAGAATTGGAAAAGCGGGATTTTACATTCTATCAAACAGACCTATTTGCCAATTGAATGCGGAACTCATGAGCCGCGGGCATGGCAAGAGAGCCTTGTGGACAGGGCTCATGAGTTAAAGACACGGATCCGCGGATCGGAGTCTCCATCGTCGCCGTTGACGTCACTGGCGCTTCATTATTCTCATTCACTCTTACGGCCAGAGAACTAACAAGCGCACCCCATATTTCTCACCTCCAAATAGGTCTGTTTGGTAGAAATACGTCCATTTGGACGTATTTCTACCAAAGAGACCTATGTGCAAGTGAGAAATGTGGGGTGTGCTCGTTAGTTCTCTTTGCGTAAGAGTGAATGGGAATAATTGTGCGCCAGTGACGTCAGCGGCGACGATGGAGACTCCGATCCGCGGATCCGTGTCTTTAACTCATGAGCCCTGTCCACAAGGCTCTCTTGCCATGCCCGCGGCTCATGAGTTCCGCACTCAGTTGCACATAGGTCTCTTTGATAGAATGTAATATCCCGCTTTTTCAATTCTTCAAAAGGAACCACGCCCACTTTTACATTGCTTCTTATGCAGCTTCGACGAGCACACCCCACATTTCTCACTTGCACATAGGTCTGTTTGGTAGAACTACGTCCATTTATAAGTATGAAAGATGCGTCAACAGTTAAAAAACCAACAGCAATACCACCATTTAATTATCTTCAGAAGAACAGTAGTAGCTCTGTGCCCATCTCTTGGGCGGTCAAAAATGAACATGAATCTGAATCAGTCTAGTCACGTTATCCGTTACCTAATTTCATATCGTATTTTATCGGGTTTCAAGAAAACGACGCAACATTCTGCATCGAAATTTAGCGAAAGTATGAAATCCAAATCAAAAGGAAATTTTCTGAGTTTCAAGGCATTTCTGTAATCTTGTAAAAATTAAAATATGACAGGAAATTAAACGTCAATTACTCATTTAGTAGACGATTTTGGGGATTTCTGAGGCGTTGGACGTACTCTCCGTGCAAAGTATGGGTTGTGATGCTGAGTGTCTCATACCACGTAAAGAGGTTCATCATTCAGCCGACGTTAGACAATTTTACGGTCAATGGGCCACTATACGTGGATGGTCAGGGAAAAATGAGAGCGCTAAATTAACCTACTTCAATTCGCAATTTGGAGCGCCCATATCTGGCTCGTTCATAAAAGCACGTACCTGCATAGGGAGACTTTTGGCACGTGCGTTGTTTTTAAAATAGGCCAGATACAGTATTTTCATCTCGCGAAATGTGGTCCAATTAAGGATTTGCTTTAAATACATTTCCTCAATAAATAAATAAATAAATAAATAAATAAATAGATAAATAAATAAATAAATGGATACATAAATAGATAAATAAATAAATAAATAAATAAATAAATAAATAAATGGATAAATAAATAAATAAATAAATAAATAAATAAATGCGGAGCCGCCATGATTTGGCACATTTACTTAGTTTTTAGACTTGGAGGTAGGCAGTCTAATTTGGAATCGATATTTATAGTGGATTTAAATGGAGTAAAAACAGCGTTGCCAACTGATTCCCGTCCAGAATTTCTGTTATTTTTTTAATCCTGTAGGTCTCCATAAGACCCACGAGGGGTCCCTTCTGGTTCAACTATAAAGCCGCATATTCACGTAACAAAACCACTGGTACATACGTTGTGTCTAAATTGAGTCAGCGATATTACTTCCTTGTCGCAAAATGTAGTCCAAATGTACTCTATGATAATAAGTGACAAATTCAAACATCTATTGCAGAGTTCATCGAAACCCGAAGAAAACCGGTCTCTCCTGAAATCAGTCAGTGCCAGATATTGGGGCAAAATTACTTCCACTCTTGGTTTCAGCAACAGGAACACCGGGTTAGTTTGTTGGAATGGGTCACTAAACCTTGTGTTTTTGCTTAATATTATTACTGCATTATTATTGCGTTTTTATTACTGCAAATACCAGGTGAGTTGATTACGTGGTGATTCATTGCTCATTTTTGGACCCAAAATCCCGGACAAACCGGCTTTTAAAACGTCCAAAGACTCAAAGGAATTTCAAACGAACCGAAATGGCGGGGAAAAACTTACTAAGTCCTAGTATCCATTTTCAATAAAGTTTAGCATGATTTTTGAACCTCATTAGAGGAAGAAATGACTTGATTCAAGCATTCATATGCTCAAACTTACCACCAAGAAGATTCTTAAAACTAAAATTCTCAATAAAGAAAAATAATGCTTGTATAAAGAGGAAAAGATGCCTTCATGTAAAGAAAAGTCACTTACATCAATCAGAGACCTGCTTTCATGACAACATACTTATGAATAATTTTGCCTGAATCGAGTCACTTTTTTCTCTAATGTAATTCAAAAATTACGCTAAACGGTATTATGTACGGATGCTACAACTTGGTGAGTTTTTTAACTATCGCTGCTCTCTTTTTGTGCCGTGGTATCTTGATTTATTTTGCGCGGAAAGGGATGCCTGTCATTCTTGATTCGCTGGAGGACCTTCAATTTCGTATGTTACTGTGCAACACCTCTGTTGTGAAATAGTTGCTTGAAGCACCGAGGCGTGGCGCGGCGCGAGAGCGACTAGCGCGACAAGTGCATTGGCGCCTACGAACCTAACAGGGATACTTCACGCATTGCGCAATGCGTGAAGTATCCCTGTTAGGTTTGTAGGCGCCAGTGCGCGTGTCGCGCTGACAGCACGCCGCGCGACGCTCCACTCTTTATTTGGATTATAATAGGTATTTACACTCGCGAAGTCAGCGGTTTTCAACTCATGATTTTGAAATGTGTGTACATTCTGCATGAATTATTCTCATTTAAATGTATATGTATTAAAGGAAAACATAATGTGTGTTTTGTAAATATTATAAGGTGGTTCCGTGTCAAATTTAATGATCTCCCAAACATTTATATTTTTTCTTTTATATTTATTGCTTTTACTGTGCTACAGCGTGGTGTACGCGCAACCAAACACTCAAAATTGGATGTATTTGACTCTAAAAGATCAATGTACAAATGGGTTAAAAGCAAAGATTGCGTGTTTCTTGGTTTTTTCCCTTCTCTTATTCATTTTTGTATGGTTTCTTTCAACACAACCACGGCCCATTTAGATTAATATTGATGCTGTCGCTTGGAAAATGTTTCACAAATATTTGCCATGTTTTAAATACGTAAATGTTTTTAAAATGAAGTAACATTTTCATTAAAACAAGGGTGTATATAAAGTATATTTTGCATCGAAAATGCCAAGGATACATTTAAAACCGAATATTCACTGATGACAATTTGAAATGATGAATCAAAAGAAGAAAGTAATATTTCTTTTAAAAAATATGAGTTATCATAACAACATCTCCTTCTCTTTCAATTTTCTCATTTCGATATTGTCGACGTAATTTTACATATGGACTAACATATAACGCTTGGACCGAGTCTGTGTTGCCTCTTTTACGTGTGGACGTAAACTACAAGGCAAAACAGGTATGTCCTGAAACCTAGCGGGTCTGTTGATGATCACCAAACTCTTATCACCATACCTCAGACCGTACATGTTTTTGTTTTGTTTTTTTGTTTTTTTTATTTCTATATCGACTTGTCGAGTGTCTCTTAGTTACCCTTTTGATGAAATGTCCCTCTAACGACCACTCCCCTCACCCTAACAAAAAAATCCTGGTTCCACCCATACCCACAACCGTCCCTAATACTGGTGTGCTAATTAAAAACGCCGTATGAGCCTTGAGGTGTTGCCAAATCTCCTTTGATAAAACACGAGTTCTCCAGAAAACTTGTGAATTTCTTTTTTCGAATTTTCAAGGGAATTTAGTTCACAATAGGCTTTAGACAAGGTCTGAATTAGAAGTGATAACATCACATGTTTTCCCTTCAAAATCTTACATAAAAATTGATTTACATAACGGGAAGTTTGGAAATCTTCTCCATAACGAGATTTCAACGCGTGTTTTCAACACAGATCAAATGGAAATTGGAGTACACAGATAACGTTAGTTGTATTTTTGCCGTTAAATCTATATTGATTGAAAACAATCATATGTTGCTCAGTAGTTGATTTTCAGACTTCCCGTTGAAAGATTCGTTTCCATTGTGAAATTTTGAAGAGGAAACAAATATCGTCGTGCTTTAAATCATACCTTGTCCAGAGGTCAATTTTATCTAAAGTGTCTAAAAATTTCAAGAAAAATAATTGATGACTTTCTTCAGAGATAAATGTTTTCTAAGAGAAAATTTGGCAAAATTCGAATGCTCATACGGCGCATTTTTCCTTAGCACGGCTGCAGCCTAATTGTTGAAATTTTGTGTTTATCGGGTAGACATATATGACATAGGTTAAAAGGCGGAGTGTGATTGGTTGGCTATGTCTTATCGCTGCTTTGCCGTTCCTATGTCGAATGGAACTCACGAAAATCTAAAGGCACCTCTCAAGTTTCCGACAGTATGTCGTCCACTCCACCGGACAAAGGCACAATATAGCAGCGATAAGACATAGCAGACGAATCACGCTACGCCTTCTAACCTATGTCATCTATGTGTCGCAGGCAAATAGTGAAATCAGGCATTTTGTCAAATGCCTAGGCAGATAGTCAAATTTTAACAGTCTAAAAATTTTGTTAATTTATGGCGAAGAGCTCACGATTTTTCTCTATTTTTGGAAAAATAACTCATCAAACCTACAAACTCTTTTTTTCTCTTCCTCTTCAATTGCTTCTCATATGTATTATCAAATGTTGAAACTCCAAAAATTTTGTATTTTACGACCTGCTAAAAATGTTAAGATCAGGGATTCTTCAGGAGCTAAATATTGTTTAAAATACTATTGTGTGTGTACATTTTTACTGAGAATTTTTTCTTGCAGGAGCAATGAATTATTTTGTCTGAAATTAGGAAAAGAATCAGAATTTCAATCTAAGTTAGAATATTTGACTATTTGCCTAGGCATTCGATAAAATGTCTGATTTTGCTATTTGCCTGCGACATATGTCTACCCGACAAACATAAAGTTTCAACAACCAGGCTGCTGCACTGAAAAAAAATTCTCGGCGTTTTGACCAAGGTCAGTTGGTACCTTTACCATCTCACTTTTTTTACTAATTATTGGTAATTTTACCAAGACAGACTGGTAAGCTTACCTAAAACCGGTATTTTTACTGTTTTTTCTTCACGTAAGAATACATTTTTTATTGGTAATCGATTCCCGGTAACTTTGCCATTTTATCTCGGTAATTCTACCACAGTCGATAAAAAATATTGGCTTTTTTACCAAGGTCCAGTAAAAATACCGAGAAAGTTCAATAATTTTACCGAGATTTCTCGATAAAATTACCAATTACATAAATGGTAATCTTACCAAGAAAAAACTAGGATCGAATAGAACCCTGAATTCTTGGTAATTTTACCTTTTTCTTAGTAAATACACCGAGATTTTTTTTCAGTGTGGATAATGTCCTGTTTCTTTGAACAGCGATAGCGTGGTGAAGGTTGAAGAAACCGGCCCGAGGGAAGAGAGAAAAAAGAAACGCCCAGGTAAGCGCTCGAAGGCAGAACACATTACTCCGGTGAATATTGGCTATGTCAGCGAGGACTCCACTCCGTGGCAGGTGCAACAGCCTACGCAGCCACGATCACCCTCTCCGAAGAAGCCATCTCCGGGGCGCCCAGCAACTACACTTCGAAGGCCTAGCTACGGTAAGTCTCAAAGACATAAAGACGGAGTGCTCGTACGGTACCTAAAAGTATGGTTGGCCGTCCGTTTCTTTAATAAAAATTCACCCTGAGAAATATTTTTTCCCGCGAGGGATTTTTTTCTTACGTGAGGGATTTTTTCTCTCTTGTGAGGGATATTCTTCTTTCGTCTTGCGCGAGTGATTTTTATTTTGATTCTCCGTGTGGAATTTTTTTTTTCGTGGGAAAGATTTTTCTCTCATGTTGTTCCACATGTTGCCAAGTCTATCAATGTTTTCGTGGATTTCTAGGTAGGCGTTCGGGTTCACCGATTCCCCGAGATCGATATCTTCCGGAGTTAGTTGCGTTTTGGATCTCGGTGAAGCGAGGTTTTTGGTCTTAGCTGAAGTTGGTGTTTGGCCCCCTCCCCCCGAAACCCCTACATTATTGCCCTTCGAAAAGTCGGGTTTTTGACGCCGCGGTAGGGACACCCTTGGTTTCTTCCACCTTGCTTTAATCCGATTTTAACGTTGAATCGCCGGTGTGAATGTGCGTCACACCGACTGACGAAGGCAACGTGGAAGAAACCAAGGGTGCCACTCCCGCGGTAGATGACGTCAAAAACTCGACTTTTGAAAGGGCGATACTCGGCTGATATTGAACGGAGAAAGTTGCTGCTTGGACGGATCCTATTATTTTTAGCTAATTTACACGAATCGATCATCAAAACACGATTCTTGACCGCGGTGCAACTGACCCATTGTTAACCGCACACTGAAAAAAAATTCTCTGCGTTTTTACCAAGGTCAGTTGGTATATTTACCATCTCACTTTTTTTACCAATTATTGGTAATTTTACCGAGACAGACTGGTAAGCTTTCCTAAAAACCGGTATTTTTACTGTTTTTTCAGGTAAAAATACCACTTTTATTGGTAATCAATTCCCGGTAACTTTGCCATTTTATCTCGGTAATTATACCGTAGTCAATAAAAAATATTGGCGTTTTTACCAAGGTCCAGTAAAATTACCGAGAAAGTTCAATAATTTTACCGAGATTTCTCGGTATAACTGAAAAAACTGGGATCAAATGGACTACATTTTGCAATTTGGAACTATAAATTCTGGCTCATCGGAAAAAACACTTATGTTCATAGGGAGACTAATGGCACATACGTTGTTTTTAAACCGGGCCAGAATTTATAGTTCCAAATTGCAAAATGCAGTCCAAATAGAACCCTGAATTCTTGGTAATTTTACCCTTTTCTTAGTAAATACACCCAGATTTTTTTTTCAGTGCACGTTTAGGTTTTATGCGTTCTACCTCCCGTATTAACAAAACAATGTCGGTCAATTTTTCATACTGTATAGAATGGTCACGAACATTAAGTGCTTCGCGACCGCCGACGGAAGAGGAACTGGCGGCTCAGGAACGCAGTGAGCGTGAAGCTACAGAGCAGAGGAACCGGCTCTTGGCTAGCCTGTGGAATCAGAATAAGGGACAATCTTCCAAAGAGCCAAGTCAAAAGCGTCCATCTTCGCCCAAGCAGTCTGGCCCGAGACCCTTCGACCCCCAAGAAGTGGCAAAAGATGGCAGAGGCAAAGTTGTCTACGCGACATCGCTGAATGATCCCCGGGCGCGGGGTCTTGCGCAAGGAATCCCTCAGAACACCAGGTAAGCGAAGTTCTTCGACATCCTTGGGTGCCGCCGCACAGCGGTGCGAGTCGATTGGAGAGGTCGGACATGAAACTTCCAACTAAAATTGCTAATTTGGATGGTTTTTCCGAGAGTACCTGTATAGGGAGAGTAGCGACAGATCAGAAACTCCGAAAGTCCATCAGGCCTTCACCGATGCCTCCGCGAATAAAGTTAGGGCCCAAAAGGGCAGCCAACCTATGAATTTCGAATGTCCAGAGCGATTTACAAATACAATTGTTACGAACCGTCGTTTAGAAAGCATGTATTTGGTTTACTTTTTGCATAAATTTACTTATTTTTGCGAAAGAACGCTCATTTATGTACATTCTTAGCCATCTTGGTTAGAATTGAAATCTGTAGGCTGGCAGTGAAATTTTGTGTGTTAGAAGTTGCTCAGAAGGGTGGCTGCACTTTTGGGCCCTAAGCCCTCCATGAACCGATCTGTCGCTACTCTCCCTATACAGGTACTCTAGTTTTTCCGTCACATTTTAAAGTTCAAGGGGTGTTGCTGGAAGAAAATTATAGGCCTTGTCTCCACGGGAAGTTTTCATGGGATTTGTCCCAAGTTCGAATCGCAGGATTGAAACCTCTGGGATTTTTCCCGGTTACCGTCTCCACGGGACGGGGCTCATACAGTCCTGCGACTAAGTTTGCGCGGGATAGTTAAAGTCGAGTATTTAACCGGGATTAAAATGATAATTGCACTCAATTGACAATTAGACACATTATTTTAACTAGACAAACATTAACAATGTAGTAATGAATAAAATATCGCACAATTCGTTTTCACTTCTTCTTCTTCTCTCAGTGAGTCCTAGGAGTGCAAGTACCATACTTGGTACTGGGAAAAATATTGATTAACTCAATATTTTTCCGAACTTCGTTAGTGGGATTTTTCCCTGGGGCAAATCTCGTGAAACGGCTCGTGGAGATAAGGCCTTATGAGAAAACCAATGGAACCAATATTGGAACCTCAAAGTTTGTATAAACGGAGTTATAAGCGTCTCAAGGCTCCGAATTTTGTCCGAAATCTCCGATTGACTCGATCCACTGTGCGCCGCTTGTAATGGAACAAGTCAATGGGAGGAGCATACTGCCGTGCTACGGAGGGGCGCCGTATGAACATTCGAGAGTTGCCAAATTTCGTGCGATAAAATGTTTATTTTCGAGGAAAGTTTTGAATATCCTTCCTTGAAATTGTCAGGAGCTTTAGGTGAAATTGCGAGGAAACTTATCTGAAAAATTGGAAGAAAAATATTCATAAGTTTACCAGGAAATTCGTGTTTTATCAATGGAAATTTGGCATCGCCCTAAGGTTCATACGGCGTTCTTCCTTAGCACGGCAGCATAGGCGGTCCAGGTGGGGCGCACAGTGGACCGAATCGATGGGAGAGGCCGGACGAATCTTGAAAACTTTAAAAGCTTATAACTCTGTTTACACAACACTTTGAGGCTCTAAAAGTGGTTTCATTGGTTTCCTCGTGAAATTTTCCTCTAGAACTACCCCTTTAAATTCAAAATGTGGCGAATTAAACATCAAAATATGCAGCTTTAGAAGAAAAAAAAATCATGTCCGACCTCTCTGATTGACTCGATCCACTGTGCGGCATAGGAAGCGCCCCCCCCCTTCCCTCAAAAAAGAGAGGAAGAGCTAAAAGGGAGGAACTGAAGAAAGTAGAAGGAGGGCGTCTATATTTGGTAATGGACCACCAGACAAGGTCCTAACTTTATTATGACCCTACCCTTTAATGTCCCTGGGATTTTATTGCTCACTTTTATTTAGATCGACTTCGGTTTTTTGATGAGTGAGATGTTCGGCTTTAAGGGCAAAGAAAGTGCTGAGGTCTTGCTTGCGAGTAGATGTGCCTTTTTTAAAAGTTTGAATCGTGGAGTAAGTAGTTAAAACAGATCAGCGCAGCCGGGGAAAAAAATGAGGCAGGCCAGGCGCCTTCAATTTTGTGCATGCAACACAAACATCCGTCAAGCACGAATAGTCGCATCCTCGCGCCGCACCGTGATGTAAGATAGAACAGCGCAATGCACTTACGACAATACGTGTAGTTTTTGAATATGAGACAAGCCGGTGTGCCTTCATTTTGGTGAATGCAACATGGACATCCAATACAGAAAATTCGAAAACGCCTTCAATTGAGGCGTAATACCTCACGCGTTCCGGAGAGTTCAAATAGTTGTATCCCTGCACCTTAGCAGGGCGATGGAAGCTTTCTATTGAAGTAGCGTCACCGCTTGGTTTTTCGGTTTTCCTGTGCCACTACTGCAGATTCGACCGTTAAGGCCGTAGTTTACGGGCGCTATAACCAGGGTTGTATTTCGCAAATTGATAATTTTTGCAAAATAATTAAATATTAAGAAGCAGTAGTAATTTTACTGAATTATTAAGGGAACTCAAATCAACAATATAATGAAAAACAATTCGGAAAATCTCGTAATACAAATACAGAAAATTCCAAAACGCCATCAATTGAGGCGTGATACCTCACGCGTTCCGGAGAGTTCAAGTAGTTGTATCCCTGCGCCTTAGCAAGGCGATGGAAGCGTACTATTGAATTAGCGTCCCCGCTTGGTTTTTCGGTTTTCCTGCGCCGCTACTGCAGTTTCGACGTTTAGGCCGTGGTTTAAGGTCGCTAAAGCGAGGGTTGCATTTCGCAAATTGATAAATTTTGCAGAATAATTAAAAATTAAGAAGCATGAGTAATTTAACTAAATAATAGCGGGAACTCAAATCAACAATATAATGGGAAACAAATTGGAAAATCTCGTCAAGTAACACACAAGATTCGAAAACGCCTTCCATTGAGGCGTGATACCTCGCGCGTTCCGGAGAGTTCAAATAGTTGTATCCCTGCGCCTTAGCAAGGCGATGGAACCTTTCTTTTGAAGTAGCGTCCCCGCTTGGTTTTTCGGTTTTCCTGTGCCGCTACTGCAGTTTCGACCGTTAAGGCCGTAGTTTAAGGTCGCTAAAGCGAGGGTTTCATTTCGCAAATTGATAAATTTTGCAAAATAATTTAAAATTAGGAAGGCCGCAGGGTTGTATTTCGCAAATTGATAATTTTTGCAAAATAATTAAAAATTAAGAAGCAGGAGTAATTTTACTGAATAATAAAGGGAACTCAAATCAGCAATATAATGCAAAACAATTTGGAAAATCTCGTCATACAAAAACAGAAAATTCCAAAACGCCTTCAATTGATGCGTGATACCTCACGCGTTCCTGAGAGTTCAAATAGTTGTATCCCTGCGCCTTAGCAAGGCGATGGAGGCATAATATTGAAGTGGCGTCCCCGCTTGGTTTTTCGGTTTTCCTGTGCCGCTGCTGCAGTTTCGACCGTTGAGGCCTTAGGTTAAGGGCGCTAAACCCAGGGATGTATTTCGCAAATTGATACATTTTGCAGAATAATTAAAAATTAGAAAGCATGAGTAATTTTACTGAATAATAACGGAAACTCAAATCAACAATATAATGCAAAACAATTTTGAAAATTGAGTCATACAAATCCATCAAGTACGAATAGTCGCATCCTCGCACCGTGATGTAAGATGGAACAGCGCAATGCACTTACGATAGCATACGTGCAGTTTCTGAGTATGAGACAGGGACAAGGCGGACCGCCTTTATTTGTTGACAGAAAGCCCTGCTGCTGCTGGTTCATTGCCTTAATTTCCTTCAGAACCCACAACCATCGTTAGACTATATTTCTCTTTTGTAGACATCAAAGGATCTTCAGCACATCTATGCTCCAGGCTCTCCAAATTTTCAGAAATTAAGTCGATATTAGAATTCACTTAAGCAGACCCTCTCGTCAGTTCCGTGAGAATTTGACACCACTACCGGGATTCGAACCCTCGGGACCAATTCTCCCGTGCTAAGGAAGAACGCCGCATGAACATTCGAGAGTTGCCAAATCTCCCCGAATTAAACATGTTTTTTGGAGAAAGTTGGGCATATTTTTCTTGACATTTTCAGATATTTGGATTATGCTGCGAACGAAATCGTCTGAAAAATTGGAGGAAATATATTCAGAATTTTTCCAGACAATTCGTTTTCCATTGAAGGACATATAGTAACGACGGATGCTCATACGGCGTTTTTCGCTAGCACGGCAGTATTGACCCTAGAGTCAGACGCGCTGACCACTAGGCCAGCCTATGGGCCGATTTTTGAAATCGATAGACAAAGCTATAGACAAAGAAGACAAAAGGGATATGGAGCGATCCTATTGGTTAGAAAGGGTGGTTCCTTTGCTATAGGAACTCTCGTGGGTTGCCGTTAGTTTTACTTACCTCCTATTTCCATTGCGACCACCCGCTTCCTCCGATACGATCACTCCAAATCCCTTTTGTCTTCTTTGTCCATAGCTCTGTCTATCAATTTCAATAATCCGGACACTTCATTCGATTTGAGTCAAAAATAATGATTTCAAAGATAAGACAGATTTTTTAACTGTAGCTACAACAATATTAATAGTAACTAGAATAAATTCATTAATGAAAAATGGATATAAGAAAGTAGTAGCTCTTTCCACCCTTAGTCAGCTCAGAATTATATTTATTTCTATATTAGCTAGTTTACATTCATTAGCTTTTTTTCACATAATTGTACATGCGGCCTTTAAGGCACTCTTATTTTTCTATGTAGAAGAACCTTTATCTCGATGAAAAGTAGACAATTTCCACGAAAAATTTCTAGAACCAGGAGAAACTTAACAGTAGGGTGGTCTCACGATAACTGGAATAGTTTTGTCGCCGTAATAGACAACACATTTTTCGAACATATTTTTAGTACTAAATGATGATTACTCGAATTTTTTCGCAATAATCTTCAAAGGGTTACGTATTATAACACTTTCTAGCGAGTTATTTCTCTACTTTTCAATTTTAATACATTTATGTGACTGAAAATAAGCTGTCTGCTACGCGGTAAATATTCAGCGTAACAGACAGCACATATTTTCGGC